GGGCTACTGCCTCCTCATGCATAGACATCATGCTGTATATATGGACACAGGCACGAGTTCTCTTTTCCTTCAGACACAGGCGCAACGCATATTTTGGGTCATAAAAGAATTCAGGACCGTTCTCTCGTCCTTTCCCAAATTTGCATTGCAGGAAACGAAGGAGAGCACTGTCATCTTCCTAATTGGATATATAAAAAAAATAAATATTTAACACTTTAGCAACTTCTTGTCATAATCTTACAAAGAAGATAATAACCCTCTCTGTTGCTTTTCGGACTAAGTTCAGGATTCTAAGGTTTTACGAAATAAAAAACAAAAAAATTATCGAAGGGAAGTAACCAGACCTGCTTGGCATATAATGAGAGAAGTAAATTGTGAATCCCTGGATCCTCGTTATGCAAACGGTGGACGCAAAACTCAAGATATTTTATGACTTCATGAGTCTCGTTCCTGCATTATGATTTGAGGAGTTATTGGTGAGTATTAATAACATAACGTGAATGGACATTTAATTGAGAAGTGGGGCATTACTTTGCATGAGGTTCACTTGAGTAACGCATCATTGCAGTAATTAGTCTCCTTGGATTAAGATTTTTGTTGGCCATCCATGCTTCCACGGTTTCATATGCGTCAAGCATAATAAGGTCTGGCGCAAATTTATACTGAAATGTGTAAAACATATTTTAGTTTCAGGGAAAAACAAAGATTTGGAGACTACATTTTTAAAAAAGACCCGGGTGTTACTTTTTACACACCTGAAGCTCTACTGAAACTGAAGATTTCTGGAGCACCTCTAAAGCCTTTTTTGCTTCCCCTTGCTAATGGATAAAGACAAAACTCAGTAAGTTAAATAAGCCTGAGTAAGATCTCGTATCTATATGGGTCAATTAGGAATATAAAACTTATCACGCCCTTCACCTGAATATAATGGTGAACTACGATTTCATACTGCTCCTTCAGGTTTGCAAAATATACCAATTCCTCAACCCGACCATAACTGCAAGAAATAAAAAAGAAAGAGATGAGATGTGCTTAGAAAAGTGCTTAGAAAAGTCTTAAAGAGAATAGCATATTCCAGAAATAATACACGCCATCATCATAAAGGTCCAAGTAGTCGCTGGCAAAAAGGAAGATACTTGTAAAAATTACCTCTCCAGAAGTTTCATTGTGGTTGCCTCATCCAATACATCCTTGCAGTCGCTCATGAAAGCACGGAATTCTTGAATGACTGAGTGATACTCTGAGTTGCGATTTTCTATAGCAGTGTCATCTTCCAAAAGCAGCCTGTTTATCTATATTCGCATTCAATAGCCAAAAAAACAGGGAAATAAGATAGATAGACTCAGAAAGAAAACAAACAGCAAAAGCAACAATAGGAACTATGACACCAGATCAACGGAAGTATCTACTTTTTATTGAAATAGGAAACCCCAAAATATGTGTTTACTGAGAAGTGAGAACAGAGAATAAGTGGTGCACAGAAGCAAAAGCTAAACCTTGTCCAGATACAACTCAGTTGCCCATGTTGATATCATCGTAATTTGGCATTTATCATCCTTTGAAAGATTATCAAGCTTCCGCAACAGGAATGTTCTCAAAGCTTCCTGCAATCACATATTGAATAAAAGGCAGTAAATATTCAAGCCCACATGTGAAAGACATTTCTCTCTCCTAAACAGCACAGCTCGGATATAGAGATGTGATGTTTTGGGGTGAGTTTTCTTTATGGTATATATTTAAAATGTAAATTATACCGGTTCGTTTATACTAATAAACTTCAAAGTGATCTCCTCAAAAGATATTACATAATTGATCTGCAAAAACATTTAACCACGTCAAAATGAATAATATCATGTTAAAACAAAGTAAAACAAAGGAGTTAGAAATCACTTTGGCATAAAATGATGCTGCTCGTAGATATTCCTTGTTGGTGAATGCAGCTTCTGCCTACAAGAGAAGGTGCCCAATTCATACATAATCAAAACCAGAGAGATTCTTTCGGCAAACTGTCTATAGGCAGGTGACAGCAACATTACGCTGATAAAAAGAAATTGCAGATATGACAGGAATGGCATGATAAACACCGTCTTATTATTTTAATCAATGGTACCGGGCATCAAAGATCACCTGAACTAAATAAACTTGGTCTCTCTGGAGAGGGTCACGACAATTTGCTAAAGCTGAAGCATAAACTTTCAAGTCTAGGTAAACCTTCCACATATCTCTGCCCTCGTCAATCACAGAAACCTAGAGAGGATTTCCAAAGCCCCAAATTGAATAGAGAAAGCACAAGATATCAGATAAATATACTCAAGTAGTTAATTAAGATAAACAAGTAAAATCCAACCACCAAAACAGACCTGGAAGATCGAATTCTGATCATACGCATAGAAAAGGCCAGCAGAGGCATCGCTGCAAAGTCCAATTATGCCCCTCGAAGCTGAATCGGTCGTTATATCAAACTGGAGCTCCTCAATGATTTGTTCACTTATCCGATTCACAACCTACACCCACATATAAGATATTCAGAAACAAGAAAGTAAGCACACTTATGAAACAAAACACATATGTAGCTAGTTAATGCAACTAGGGATGTATCAACCCATGTGTCCAAAACATACCTTAACCTTATTCCCAATAAGAAGCAAGAAATGAAACTCTGAGAGTGCCATTGAACCAGGCTTGACTACTTCGGTGCCATCACTCAGTTTTGAGTAGTCCAACAGCGCTTTGCTCTCCACAAAGTTCTCATCACCATTTGAATAACTACCAAACAAGTTTCAGTCAAATTACAGAATGAATTAACCGAAATATATGAAAGAGGGCAACAAATACAAAGACCCCAGCATTAAAATAGGGACATTGGCACTGTCATTCTACCTGTGCTGAGCTCCAAAATTTAGGCCACCATGATATATTCCTGTTCCTGAAAGCCATGCAAAATGCACCGCTCTTCGTTGCTTTATAAAGAAATGTAGCTCACTGAAAAGACGACAAACATTATATGTTCAGAGAGCAGGGTTACGCTTTGTGATTTCTTTCATATACAAAATGAGGCTAAGGTAATTCAAGCACTTGCCTGTTTGGTATTTCACCAGGAAGTTCCATAAAATGAACTGCACGTTCTTTATAACTAGCAAAAACAGACTGGAAGTAAACGCTCAGTAATTAGAAACTGAATGAAAGAAAACTAATTCACAATTTCATAAATGTTCCCAAATAAATCATAAGATGGAGGACAAATGTCGCATAGCAGAACAGATATTAGCTTACTTCTAGTGTTCCAATCCCGGTGAACGAATAGAGTCGAGTGGGAGTTACAGCCATCACATAATACCTCATTCCACTGCTTATGTTGGCTGCTTCCATCTACACATTTGTTTCAATAAAACAGAGATTTGAGTAATAAATCCGCTGCTTATCAAACCCATTGAAAGAATAAAAGAACCACCACCAACTTAACCAATGCAATGTAATAGCTACACTAGAAATTCTATAACATATTGGCCATTATAGCTTCAACTTAAAATAAAACGGTGATACCTGCAAAGCCATGAAGGCCTCGGGAAGTTCTTCTAGTTCAAACAAAAACTTGATATACTTCTCTCTCTTGTCCTTCTCATCCACAGCCATTTCAAATAGCTGCCCATCGTGAGTGCCCAGAATGATCTCCTTAGTCGAAACTGAATTCAGGGAAAGACAAAATAAAATCAACATCCATGTGAAACCAAAAAGAAAAAGGAACACTCATATAAACACCAAAGCATAACCTTCTGTTATCTGTTGTCTGTTCCAAGCCACAGCGTTAACCAGTAAGCCTTTCAAGCGGCTCAACACACGCGGCTTAGGCCACTTTGCGTGCGTATAAAAAGTTTCAGCTCCTCCAACACCAGTTACTGTAGCAATGCAATGGCTACCACCAGGGTCAACAAAAACCTTGTGAATCGACTGCTCCCCAGTTCGACCAACAGAGAGATCAATATCTACATCCAAAGAAACAATTTGTCTTTATGTTTTCCATAAGGCATAAACTGAGGTTTTAACACTAAAATAACAATTTGAGGATGAACATACCATAAGAACTCCCAACTCCAAAATCATGCCGGATAATCCATCCTTTACTCGTTCCCAGAACAATTACATCGTTTCCAGCAGCCATACATGTGATCATGCCACGATTCTTTGTGGCATATCTCTCCAGAAGATCAACTGAAAATACTTGCCTCCCTTGATCCATCTCTTCCACTCTTAATTAAAACTTCAATCCAGATTTTGAGCTTTTGACCATCAAATCTACCTCGGAGAAAACATACACAAGACAAAATTCACAGTTGAGAGAGAGCAATTCTGGTTCTGAAATGTTGAAAACGGAAATTATCAAAAAAAATTTCCAATACGAAAACAGAGAAAAAAAACAGTCTGAAATTTTCCTTTTCGTTAGGTCACTCAAACTTTTAAAAGAAGGTTTCTGCATTGCTTACAACAATCGGAATCGCTACAATCCGTCAGAGATCTGATCGGCGACCAGGAGAAGACATCGGTCCCGGATTCTGAAAAGTGAAGGCGAGCCGTACGATACGAAACGGTACCGTCTTTTCGAGTAGCTTCTTCCGACGTAGTTTTTATCTTTTTCTCTGGGGGCCCTTTTTCTCTCTATCAAATTGGATAAAAAGAAGTTCAATGTTGTTGTTGAACCAGAAAATGAACCAGTAATAACCGGTTCAATGTTGTTGAATTAAAAGAACCAAAAAAAAATCAAACTGGTTGGAGCTTAGTACGTCCGGCCTGATTCCAAATTAGAAGATATTGACTATATATTGATAGTAATCCAAGGCCCGATTTTGAAAACTTGGATCCAATCAGAAACAAATAAAATTTTCTGAGAAAGATGTGCTTGTAGTTTGAAACTCTCAGAAAAGTTTGTGAAACGTGTAAATCTCAAAGATTGAAAATGCTTATCTACATTCAAAATTCAGCTGATATCATCATATATATACAAGGGAAAAAAAGCAGAGAGATTCAATTTTAATGAACCAAAAGAAAAAACAAACAAAATATTTATATATAAGATCGTGTTAGATGATATCTTGTTTGGTGGTGAAAAGAGTTATTAAAATGTTGGTTGGATATTACGATGTCTCTTCTACTTCCTCTGCTTGCATCGCACTTAGCTTCTTCTTCGCATAGACTGTGCAGACTATAGTGGCGCTCGCAGTTATACAGAAGCCAAGAGCATTCACTACTATTTCCACAACCGAAAGACTGTGTCTCTCGTCTGATGCAACTGCTAGTGTTCTTAGCATTATGCCCCTGCAAATAACCAAAAAACACCAATCTAAGATTCTGCAGAACTTGGCTTACCATAGAGTAATAGAGAGAGAGGCATATACGTGTAGATTGAGACAAAGATCTCAGGAACCATTCCAACTAGAGAGCCTAAGATGTAAGGACCGTAGTGAACTCCAGTCGCTAATGCGCAGTAGTTGTAAATCATGTAAGGGAATGGAGAGACACGGATTAGCGTGACTGCTTGGAACTGATGAAACCAAGTTCCTTCACCGGCGGCTCTAAGTATGGCTGCTTTTTTCGGGTATTGCTTCAACCATTCCTGCAGAAATAACCAGGAAGAGAAAGGCCAATTTTGATCATCTAAAAGGTAGAGGGTTAATAAGTAGGCGAACCAAAAGAGCGCATGAGATTTAAGTATATAGGATGATGCTTACTTGCATCTTGTGGAGAAAAAGATGTCCGATTAAGAAAGGAAGAGTAACACCGATTGATGCAGCTGATAAAATCAATAAAAAGCCTTTCCCATAACCAAATGTAAGACCGGCCATCCACATGGAAGGAGAAGAAGGAAGAAGAATGCTTGGGAATATAGCCACTGAGGCAAAGAGGAGAAGACCGAGAACCGGGATGCTGAATGTGCTTCTTACCCAATTTATAAATGGAATCAGTTCCTGAAACATGATCCAGTAGACAAATGAGGATATACTTCACTTTTCACTATTAGGCTATCACTGATCTCAAGAATTGCATGATTGACAACAATCATCAAGCTTAATTACCAGTTCAATGGATAACCTTCTAAACACATACAAAATTCTGCAAGCGTATATATGTAATGCAAATATATGTTAAGTTTACATTTAAACTTAGAGCTGGTGAGCTACGACGGAGCATAAAGACACCAGGCACGCCATGTACCACCATTAAGCAATGTTTCTATCATCGCTGATGACATTACAGACACAAGGAACATGTATAACTACTTTGAAACAAAACAACCAAACTTAGATGAATATTACAAGGCTAAATTGGGAAGCTTTCAAGCCTATAATCCAGACAGCGAGCTCATGAATGATAGACAAACAAAAAAAAATCATAGACAGTTCCCATTTTAAATCTGCAATCTACAGTGGGCTGCGTTCAAAAATCATCTAATAATACGTTCTACAGCGCCAAAATTTGGTTTTGAATGCTTAAACCTAAAATATGCTCAAGCTAAATACACAAGAACCCTACTTTTCAACCATCAAAACCAATAATCAGACCCATCAGAAATCAGAATCCTTATGCATTCCCTAAACCCATTAAATGTGACCAAAGAAGCATCAGAACTTAGACAAAAAAGAACTAACCTTTTCGATCAAAAATGGACCAATCCATTTAATAATTACAAAGGCCAAGACACTAAAACAAGCGATCAGGGAGATCAATTTCACCCAGAACCAGACAGACGTCACCGATCCTATCGAACATCCCGCAGGAGAACCTTCTTCTTCATCCGATCCTCCTCTTAATTTCACATAATCTCCATTTTCGGAATCCTCGATTCTCAATTTCAGCTCAGGCACCGTCTTATCGACGCCGTCGCTGTACGTCATAGATCCACCGAAGATGGAAATTTTTTCAAAATACGAAAAAAAAAAAACCCAACCCTCGAAAAATCTCAAAAGTTTTCGCCAGATTCGTTTAGGACCTCTGTTTTTTTCCTTCGGTTTCCCGAGAAAATTGAAGAGTAACGAGAGAATGAGACCGTTAGATCAAAATGAGATTGGAGAGAGCGAATTGGGTTTAGAAGAAAGGAATCTGAATAATTCGCTTATCTCCTTTATAAAAAAAAAAAGAATAATATCCCAATAATTAGTAGCTGTTGCTCACGAAGCGCCGATTTTTAGGCGAGTTGCTGAGTCACTCGCTTCATATTCGCTTTGTCGTCACGATAAGTCCATGTATTGTAGTTTGTTTTTTTTTTTTTGGGGACAATTATCGGATCAAACATAAAAGATGAATAGTAACAACGCATTAACGCAACATCTTATGAAACGAGATGCTTAACAAAATAATTTTATCCTAGTATTCTAAATATATATAGCAAACTTTTAGAAGACTGAAACGGAAATTAGTTGCTTGAAAGCAATAAGTATACAGAAGATAGAATGATGGAAACAAGAGAATGAAAAGCAACATAAATTGATACTTTGAAGCAAATATAAATCCTTGTAGAAATGATCTAGGTTTCTTATAATTTTTTGCACACACTGACATCTGGTATATATAGACAGACAGCTACGTACGAAATATTAATACAAGGAATTATCATTACAAAACGAGGACCATAACGTAAACCAGATACGCGTCTAGAGAATGAAATTGAGAATAAAGATATTTAAAAGTTTTTGTGTAATCTTGGTTTTACGCGCGCAGCCTAGTCATAGGTTTCCAATCAAAATCAAAAGAGTGAGTGATTGAATTAAACGCGTCAAGCTACGCTCGCCACTTTCCTCCTTTCTTTTATCTTGTCAGGTCACCGTCAACCAGCGAAGCTGCCCCCACACAAACCAAACCCGGTTTTATATAACCGATAATCTTAACTCGAACTGAACCAACTTTATCGTAATCCACAAAGTCACAAACACCCAAAAAAAAATCGACATTCGACAACCCCACAACAACTGCACACATTATCTCAACTTTATCTCACCAGAATAAAAGTTCTCAATCACTATGTACCGTCCGATGACATCATTACCCCCTCTGTTGTTTCATCGAACGACTATTATCAGAAGATGTATAAAACCTCCCGTGCGCCTTAACGCATCTGAATATATCATTCGACCAGAAGTTTTACAAAAAGACTAACATAAAAAGTACAAAAAAAGTTTCTTTGGTTTGGTTTCTGTTCTGTCTGATTTCTCTCTGGCGAAAACAAAAGGAGGTTTCGGTTTCGGTCTCTGGTCAAATCACGAACTTCCGGTTGCATTTCTCAGTGATAAATACCGTGAGATCATTTCTTCTTTAGGAGAATAGTCACCGGAAACGAAACCAAAGATACTTCACCGGCGCCTGGTGGGTTCTTGCTCGTTATTAGGTGAATTTCTTATTACTTTCATTCACCTCAGATTTTTTCAGTTGCGGGCAGATTTTTTTTTTTTTTTTTTGCGTTCTTCATTTCACTCGTCAATCTATCCACAACCATTCGATTTTAGTTGATTGAGTTTTTGACGGCGGAGATTAAGGAACTTGAAGACTTATCTCTTTTTATGCCGTCAGGGTATAATGGTCTTTCTTTTACATGCTGACCTTGTCTTGAGTCTCGACAATTGACAAATGACGCATTTACTCCTCAACTTTGTGAAGAGTCCCATGGCCAATTTCGTCACAGCGGAGATAGATATATTTATTTGTAATTTATTAAAAGGTTTGATGAATATTTAGACTTCGCTTGAGTAACAAGCCAGAATCTCCATTACTAAATCTGTCGAATTTCCTTCTATTTTCTCTAAATTAGAATCAAAAACCCTAGCCCTAATTGCAAAAAAAAAAAAATCGTCCGTTTCTGCATCTGCAATATCTGTTAATTCACGGTATATATTTGATTTTTTTTTCCTGACAGGAGGGTTCGATTTTAGAATTGGGAGATATCAATTATGGGTTCCGAGCAAAACGACAGCTTCTCTCCCTCAGAGCCAAAACTCTGCGTCAAAGGCTGTGGCTTTTTCGGATCTCCATCGAACATGAACCTCTGCTCCAAATGCTACCGAGACATCCGAGCCACGGAGGAGCAAGCCGCCTCCGCTAGAGCCGCCGTCGACAAATCGCTAAACCCTAATAAACCCCAAATCCATCCACAACAGAGCCGGGAAATCGCTCCCGGTGACGAATCTGGGTCATCGAGCAGCGGCGGCGATTCGTCAGCAGCTTCCTTAGATCCGCTTAAATCGACGGGGACGACGAGATGCTTGAGCTGCAACAAGAAAGTGGGCGTGACGGGCTTCAAATGCAAGTGTGGGAGCACTTTCTGTGGAGCTCATAGGTATCCGGAGAGCCATGACTGCGAATTCGACTTCAAAGGAGCGGCGAGAGACGCTATTGCTAAGGCGAATCCTGTGGTGAAGGCTGATAAGGTTGATAGGATATGAAATTGGTAAAATCGGTCTTGTCTTTTCTTTCAATTCTCGTGGTGTTGGTGTTTGGCTCTTTTTTCTGCTCTTGTTATGGTTTGATTTGCTTCAAAGTTTCTTAGGGATAATTTAGGTTCTGCTATGTAATGCTATGGTTTGGACAGTGGATTTACTGTTCTGTAATAAAAATTGCTGGTCATGTCTGAAACTTGCTCTCTTATTTGAGTATCTTACTTCTTCTTACTGGAGAAAATTGATTCATTGAAAGTTTTGAGGGATTCTCCTGGTTTGTATATAGGAGACTTCTGAACGAACAAGTGGGGTTTATATATAGCTTATAGTGGTTTAAAGTGTGTACCTTGATATTTCTGAAACTGAAGATGTCGTCGAGGGAGTTTTATCTGAGTCGAACCATGGAAGAACCAGGGGATGTCTTTGATGTGGGTGTTAATGTCGTGGATTGAATGAAACATTGATTTTGCATACTTCTATTTAGCTGGAGAATGTGGTGTTCTTATTAGCCTCGCATATTCTTTCCTGGAGGAAGTTTGTATCGTTGGAAGTTGTAGGACTTAGAACAGGTGGAGTTTGTATGTAGCTTATGTTAGATAAAGTGAAGTCGTCAAAGTTATTTATATGTTTGGAACCATGGAAGATTCTGAGATGTCTTGAATTTGAGGTGATAGCGTCCAGGGATTCAATGATTAGAAGACTGCAGTTGCAGGGATAGTGAATCTTCTTTAAGTTTTAGGGCTTGGGGTGTAATACAAGGGTCGGCTTTTAGCCAGGATTATTTTGTTTGAACTAGTCAGGGTACTCTGTGTTTGTGAATTCACTTTGTGGGTATGTTGACAAGTTATGAATTCAATCCTTAAGGAATTGAATCCTATGGTTCGTCTCTTTGGCGGTTTATGTTGTTTGCAATTGCAGATTATATGCGTTTGTTGCTGCGTTTTGGTGAACTCACAAAGCTATTTTGGTTGTTTAGGCTTTTTGAAGAGATTGAGTTTGATTGGTAAACAATGTCTTGTTTGTATGTCTTAGATTTCAATTAAATATAACAGACTGCATGTTTTTAGAGTTCAACAAATCCAACTTTTCTTCGGATCTTATGCTTTGATTAGTGTATTGAACATGACACTATTTTTATAAACATAATGTCTTTGTAGACGACCGATTCTGATCGGTTTCCCAACTGTCCTAAACCGAGCAATAAATTGAAATCGAAACTTTAACGAGTTGAGATAGATTTTGAAATGATATAACTTATGTCTTTGCCCTTTGGTATGGTAAACTGTTCCTTTCACCATCACTTCTTGATGGTTACATCAAAAATCATGGGTCCATTTTTCCGAATCTGATCAAACAATTTACAAAAAGCAAAGAGAGAAAAGTAACGCACTATAGTTTTATGTATAAAAATTAAAACCGAACAAATAAAAACATGTAAACTTTTATTTTTCATCTTTAAAGCATGTTTTTGTCCTTCTTTACTACTATGCTTTATATTTTGTTTTCGACTAAAAGAATTATGGTGGGAAAAAGAAGACCTTATTGCGACATTGCAATTTATACAATTGTATAACCTTTCACAATTTATGATTTTACCCCATATAAATTGATTCAGTTTCTATATGAACTTGATTTTCGATTGGGACATGTTCTGTTTGCGGTCTTCCTAGTTTTACATGTCTAGTATGGTACTATGGTCCATAACAATAATAAACAATCTTTATGAGAAGGAGAAAATAGAAAAGTGACTTTTGATTTTTATATAAAGAAAAAACTCTTTTGCTTGAAAGAACTCATCTCAGTAGTCTCGTTGAGGAAGGCCCCTACATAAGTACAAAATATAGCTTGAGTGCTTTGAATAATTTTCCCTCTTCATACATCAATGCTGCAGTATATATAAAGTACTGAAACGACATAAAACAAAACCTTCATCTGACATTTGATTATAAACATGTTTATGTAGAGGTATCGAGATAAAGAGATTATTTTTTGAGTTTAGTATGAAATGAGACTTCATTTCACTTTTTATTGGCTCCTCCAAAATTTTGAATGGAAAACTTTTTTCATTGGGGCGATTTGACAAATTCACCTTTTTTTTTTGTTTAATGGGGACCCTTGAATTCCTTTATTGTTGGTATTGCCTTTTTGTTTTTCCTTTTTCCCTTTTTTCAGTCCAAAAATTTGTGTTCTTTTGATCTTCCTCTAGTTATGCTTTTGAAACAAATCGAATTCAAATTTAATATTTTAAAACTCATTCAAATGAGTCCATCTTTACATACGAAAACTGGTCTTACCAATACCAATATATAGATCATCAATTTGTATACGGCTAATAACAAATAGAAGAATGATAAATAGCAAGCAACTAAAAATGTAGTCACATCTCTCGTGAAGGGTTGCTCGAATCATATAATAGTAGTCTTTGCATTAATAAATGATTCACGCGGAACAACCACGAACGTAGAATATGTATGAATTGTGATACAACGGGTAATTACGGGACCAGTAAAAGGGCATTAATGTCCAAAGAATTAAGTTATTTCGATGTAAGAAAATGGGACCCACCTGATGGTTTAGTTTTAACTGTGTCACGCCGCACACGATTCCCTCTACTTCACACTACCACGGGGCCAAACTCTCTCTCTTCTCTCCTGTAACTTTTTTGCTAATTTCCCGAGAAATTAAACTCTGAGAAGAAGAGAAAATAAAAAGGAATTTTCTAGGGAACCAAATTGAGAGGAGAAAAACGAGAGAGAGAAGAGAAGCTTCTCTATAGACTCCCAAGGGAATTTGTTTGGTCGTGTTTTGTTTTTATGCGTTTGGAGAAGGAATGTCTACGAGTTCAGGAACCGGAGCTGTGAGTTACAGAAATGGAACGCATAGAAACTCTCTCAGAACTCAGTCCTCTGCTTCTACTTCCGCTGGACAGAAATCTTCCGTCAAATCGAAAGCAGTGCTTAGGAAGAGCAGCCCCGCCGCACTCGGCGGCGGCTCGGCGGCAGCTTCTAAGGCGGGAAACAGTGGCGACGCCGGCGGTAAATATTTCCTCTGTTCACATTTTTACCTTGAAATTTCACTGTTTCGTTTTTTTCCCCAATAGTTTTGTTTCTTCGAATCGAATGTATTTAAGATGTTGGATAAGCTTGTCTATGGATCACGAAATGCTTTTGTGTTAATGGTGATGTTTTGATTGCATGATGCTTGTTTAGTTCCTGGGAGGGTTCGAGTAGCTGTTAGATTAAGGCCACGCAATGGCGAGGAACTGATCGCTGATGCAGATTTTGCTGATTGTGTTGAGTTACAGCCTGAGGTACTGTGATATTTATACTAAGCCTGTTTTTTAAAATGTTGAGTATTAACACTTAACCATCAGTTATGTGTTCTTGGGAGTTTATTTTCTTCAGTCGTGTGTTTGATTCGTTAGGTTAAGAGGTTGAAACTAAGGAAAAACAATTGGGACACCGACACGTTTGAGTTCGACGAAGTGCTCACCGAGTATGCTTCCCAGAAGCGAGTTTATGAAGTTGTGGCCAAACCTGTTGTCGAGGTACATTATATAGAATTTCAATGTTGTAGAGTTGAATCATTAATTCAGATGCCTTGGCCTGATTCTTATAATATATATATATATATATATATATTTTTTTTTTTTTGTGTAGGGTGTTTTGGATGGTTACAATGGGACGATTATGGCGTATGGTCAGACCGGTACTGGTAAGACATATACACTTGGCCAGCTCGGGGAAGAAGACGTTGCTGATCGTGGAATAATGGTTCGTGCTATGGAAGATATTCTAGCCGAAGTGTCTTTGGAGACGGATTCTATATCTGTCTCCTATTTGCAGGTGCTTATATTTCTCAATTTTGGTTCTTTTAGTTTCATACGGGTTCTGGAGAAGTCTCTGCTTATGTATTTGTTTGCTGGATACAAATGTAGCTTTATATGGAGACTGTACAAGACCTTCTTGATCCGGCTAATGATAACATTGCCATAGTTGAAGATCCGAAAAGTGGAGATGTTTCTCTCCCAGGTGCCACATTGGTCGAAATTAGGGATCAACATAGCTTCCTCGAACTACTGCAACTCGGAGAAGCTCACCGGTTTGCTGCTAACACCAAATTGAACACCGAGTCATCCCGAAGTCATGCTATCTTAATGGTAAGAAATACTCATCCTCATTTTGCTAGGAGAGTTGTTGGTAAAAAAAACTTGCTTATATTCATCGTCGACTAAATTGCAGGTAAATGTCAGGCGCTCTTTAAAACCTAGAGATGGTTTGTCAATTGAAAGTAATGGAAACTCCCACATGACTAAATCTCTCAAGCCTCCTGTTGTCCGGAAGGGAAAATTAGTTGTGGTGGATCTTGCTGGGTCAGAACGTATTAATAAATCAGGTTGATATTCTCAGTAAATAGACTTGATGAGTACCAACTTTTCATATTCCTCACTTTGTGTTAAGATTTATATTTTTCTTGTATCTGAACTCGTGTTTGTTAATATATATTTACCAGGAAGTGAGGGACATACACTAGAGGAAGCTAAATCTATCAATCTGTCTCTGAGCGCATTGGGGAAATGCATCAATGCACTTGCTGAAAATAGCTCTCATGTTCCATTCCGTGACTCAAAGCTAACTAGGCTGCTTAGAGATTCATTTGGAGGCAAGTTGGTCTCCGCTTTTTTTGCGCATTTGTATCTGAAAATACTCAGGCGTCATGGTTTTCTTTTGGATCCTTTCCAATTTTTACTATGTTGACTTACTTGACATGTGGCCTATGATCTCAACAGGCACTGCAAGGACCTCCTTAGTTATTACAATTGGTCCATCGCCACGACATCGAGGGGAGACAACGAGCACTATAATGTTTGGGCAGAGAGTATGGCCCATAGCTTTTGACTTCGATTTTCTTTTCTTTTTTTTTGGATCCCAGCCAATTAGCAGCGTTGAATTTTTCAGTTCACTGCTTGCTAGTTCGAATTCCTGATTTGCTTACTTTGATGGCTATGTTAACTTTTATTTTATTTGTAGGCTATGAAAGTGGAAAATATGGTGAAGTTAAAGGAAGAATTTGATTACAAAAGCTTGTCTAAAAGGCTTGAGGTACAACTAGACAATCTAATCGAGGAAAATGAAAGGCAGCAGAAAGCATTCGTTGATGAAATCGAGAGAATAACCGCAGAGGCACATAACCAAATTTCCGAGGCTGAAAAGAGATATGCCAATGCACTAGAGGTGAGTTTTTTGTTTGTAACGTGATAGAACGAGACCTAGCTATTGAGATGTCTCTTTGTGTATGGATTGAATCATCATATCTATGTGTAGGAGGAAAAGCTAAGGTATCAGAATGATTACATGGAATCAATAAAGAAGCTCGAGGAGAACTGGTCAAAGAATCAGAAGAAGCTGGCAGCAGAAAGACTTGCACTTGGAGAGAAAAATGGCCTGGACATCACATCAAATGGAATTGTAACGTCTCTCTTCATGCATGTTATTTGTTCACCTTGCAGATATAGTTTTGCTTATTTATAACTTTTTCCTATTCTTACAGAGATCAATAGCTCCAGCCTCAGAGGAAGTCTCTGAACTGAAAAAGTTGCTTCAGAAAGAAGCTCAGTTGAAGATGGCGGCTGAAGAGGAAGTGAATAGGCTGAAATTTCAACTTGCTGAATCTAAAAAAGTGGAAGTATATCCCGAAGACCTTCCTTTATGTTCCAATTTTTTAATTTTTGTTTTGATTTGTTTGTGGATTATTCATTTTGCACTCAAAGTTTTATGAGCTATAATTCCGTAATTGGATAGGTATCAGGAAATTCTGAGATCATGAGACTCCACAAGATGTTGGAAAATGAAACACAACAAAAAGAAAAGTTAGAAGGGGACATAGCTGCACTGCATTCTCAACTATTGCAATTGAGTCTTACCGCTGACGAGGTAACGAATGTAGGAATCTTCCACAGAAACCAGCATGTTATTTATGTATTAAATTGTTCTCGTTTCACTGAATTTATTTATCAAGCTTTCAAACTGCTGGATTAAAATTATCTGAGTATGACCCATTCTCTATATATTCAGACACGACAAAACCTTGAGAAACATGGTTCAGAGAAAACTACTGGTGCTCTAGATTCTTATATGTCTCAGTTAAGACTTCCTCAGATCCAAGATCCGGGAAATGCTGAGAAACCTCCCGTAGCTAGACTATTTGAACAAGGTAATTTCTGACATATCAGACTGTTGGTTGGATTTAATCTTACAACAACAAAAAATCTGACGCCTTATACGAATTTGCTTCCTGAAGTGGGGTTGCAAAAGATCTTATCTCTGCTAGAAGCTGAAGATGCTGATGTGCGGATTCATGCTGTCAAAGTTGTAGCAAATCTAGCTGCCGAAGGTTTTTTTTCTTCAATCCTCATCCTTTGACCTTTTTTTTAATTGCTAACATTACAGTTACCATTTCGTATTGTAATTATATTGTTGACTGTATGTAACAACAGAGGCAAATCAGCAACAAATTGTGGAAGCTGGTGGTCTCACCTCCTTGCTGATGCTTCTGAGAAGTACAGAAGATGAGACTATTCATAGAGTTGCTGCTGGTGCAATCGCCAACCTCGCAATGAACGGTAAAGAATTGCGGTTCTCATAAGTTAATTTCTTTTATTTATCATATCAGATTTTCGTGTTTTGTCTGCTGAAACCAATTTATATCTCAGAAACCAACCAGGAGTTGATCATGGATCAAGGAGGTATCGGTTTATTGTCATCAACATCAGCTAATGCTCAAGATCCTCAAACCCTCAGGATGGTCGCTGGAGCAATAGCAAATCTCTGTGGAAATGGTAAGTTCAAAATCATTACTGATTTTTTCCCTTTATAATGAATAAAAAGGAATCCACAAGCTATCTATTGGCTAAAAATCTTGAAACATATCTGATTTCCTGCATCGTACAGATAAATTGCAGACAAAACTAAGATCAGAAGGCGGGATTGCAGCTTTGTTGGGAATGGTCAGATGTGGACATCCTGATGTTCTTGCACAAGTTGCTCGCGGAATAGCAAATTTTGCCAAATGCGAGTCAAGAGCATCAACCCAAGGTAAAAACATTATATGGATTATTTTAAATATTCTCTTTGGCAAAATCCGAGACATGTCATTGACTGAATGCACAAATTAATTGCAGGAACTAAAAGAGGAAAATCACTCTTAATAGAAGATGGTGCACTCTCGTGGATTGTACAAAACGCCAAAACCGAAACTTCAGCAATCAGGCGACACATTGAATTAGCTCTCTGCCACTTAGCACAACACGGTTAGAGGGTTCATCACATATGATATATAAATGCATTAAACAGATGATTTTTTTACACTAAACTATAAGTTTATAACAGCAGAAATATGGGAGTGTAACACAAATTTTTGAGTTTTGCAGAAGGGAATGCGAAAGAGATGGTGAAGGAAGGAGCAATATGGGAGCTGGTGAGGATCTCAAGAGACTGTTCGAGAGAAGACATAAGAAGCCTTGCTCATAGGACTCTTACTTCAAGTCCTACATTCCTCACTGAACTCAGACGTCTCCGTGTTGATATCCGGTAAGCCGGTTAAACGTCTAACTTAACCGAACCGAATTGTGGGAGAAATGAAGCAATACAAAATTCCACCGGGGTTCAAAATATAAAGAGAGAAGATTTGTCTGATTCTGTTTTCATCTCGGTTTAGGGAGTGTGGTTGTTTTGTGGCTCTGGCTTTTTTGGAGGGGGGGACTGAATGTGTATATTATTTTGGTGGATTTTGTTTGTGCATAGATGTAGTAGTGAAAATTAAAATAAAATTATGTTTGGAAAATTTTATTCTTTCATATATTATATTATTGGGGTATGATATTCGGATAGTTTGTTTTCGATTAATTATTGTCAACCGTAAGTTTATACAATTCCGCCTCGCAAGAAGAACATTGTATTTATTTGTTTTTCATTGCATTGAACAGTCAACATAGTTGTTTGATGTAAAAGTTTGATTTTTGTAGAAAAAGTCATTAAAAAAAATGCTGTATTGTAATAAGGCGCTCATAATAGTCTTGAGGCGGCCTTTTTTTTTTCTAAAGTTATTTTCCCGAGTCACAACGACCTCTGATCTGAGAGTTCGTTGAATACACGATTCACGACATACTTGTAAGTTAAATACTTGTGTTCATCAACGATCCTTTTTCTTAAAAAAAGGCAAGTTTCAATTTTTTTTTAAGGTTTCAAAGTATCAAATTATTCTTAACAAAGTCGCACAAATGGAGACGACTCTTGACATAGTTACATGTTTGAGTCTTGCTCCTCTATGTAACCCTGTATATGTGTGTGCGTAATGTTTAGTTGTATATATAGAAGAGGAATGTCTAAGAATGATTATGTGAATACAACAAGCATTATAATATATGACGCCTTATATTGGTTTTCCTCCCGAATTGGAGTTGCAAAAGATCTTGTCTATGCTTGATTCGGAAGATGTTCAAGTGCAGATTCATGCTATCAAAGTGATAACAAAAACCTCCGCCGAAGGTTTTCTTTTTCTACAATCTTCTTCGTCCTTGGACCTTCTTTTTTTTGGTTTTTGGGGTTTGTTTTTCATCGTTTGGACTTTGATTACAAAAATTTGTTAATGCATGTATAATACCAGAGGCAAATTATGAGCAAATTATGGAAGCTGGTGGCCTCACCTCTTTGTTAATGCTTCTGAGACATTCGAAAGATGAGACCATTCTCAAATGTGTCGTTGGTGCAATCGCCAACTTTGCAATGAATGGTAAAAACATTGTCATGAGTTAATTTTTATTTAGTTTTTTTTTTCTCATATATATATTGCATTATTTCTTAACCAAAAACAATTTCCATTTACGTTTATTCTCAGTAACCAACCAGGAGCTGACCGTGGATCAAAGAGGTATTGGTTTAATGTCATCAACAGCAGTCAATGCTCAAGATCCTCAGACTCTCAGGATGGTTGATCAAACAATTGCATATCAATGTTTCAACGGTATCTTCGATTCCCTTTCTTATGAAAAAAAAAAAGTGATTCACAAATAAATATATCTCACGCTTAATTTATACCGGTTTGCTTCTTGAAGTGGGGTTCCAAAAGATCTTAACACTGCTAGAAGCTAAAGATGCTAATGTGCGGATACATGCTGGCAAAGTAGTAGCAAATCTGGCTGCCCAAGGTTTCTTTTTGCAATTTTCATCATTTGACCTTTTTTTATGTTACTATCATTACCATTAACATATGTCTATGGTTAATGATTGTATATATGTGACAGATGCAAATCAGCATCAAATTGTGGAAGCTGGTGGTCTCACCTCATTGTTGATGCTTCTGAGAAGTAAAAACGATGAGATTATTCTCAGATTTGCTGCTGGTGCAATCGCCAACCTTGCAATTAACCGTAAGAGAAAAATGTATTTTTTTTTTTTCTTATGGGTTCATTTCTTTAGCTCATCATTTTCATATTCAATAATTTTATGTTTACTATTATTCTCAGCAACCAACCATAAGTTGCTCATGGATCAAGGAGGTATCGGTGTATTGTCATCAGCATTAGCTAATGCTCAAGATCCTCAAATTCTCAGGATGGTTGCTGGAGCAATTGCAAATCTATGTGGAAATGGTACGTTCCATTCATTACTCTCTTTCTTTTTTTCCTTTAGAATGAAAAATGAATCAACAAGCTATCTTATTTGTCAAATCTAGAAACAATATCTTATTTTTTGCATCTTAAAGGTAAATTGCATACAAGACTAAAATCAGAAGGCGGGATTGCAGCTTTGTTGGGAACGGTCAGATGTGGACATCCTGATGTTCTTGCACAAGTTGCTCGCGGAATTGCAAACTTTGCCAAATGCGAGTCAAGAGCATCAACTCAAGGTTAAAACCTTACGGATTATTCAAGATACTCTCTTTGGCAAAAGCGAGACATGTCATTGACTAAATGCATCAATTAGCAGGAACTAAAAGAGAAAAATCACTCTTATTAGAAGAAGGTGCGCTCTCTTGGATTGTACAAAACGCCAAAACCGAAGCTTTACAAGCCAGACGACATATCGAATTTGCTCTGTGCTTCTTAGCACAAAACGGTAAGTGTGGTCATAGAGAATACATACTTAAAACGTAATCATGGCATTGTAACACAATCTTGAGTTTGCAGAAGCGAATGCGGAAGAGATGGTGAAGGGAAGAGCTATGTGGGAGCTGGTGAGACTTTCAAGAGACTATTCTAATGAAGACGTAAGAAGTTTTGCTCATACAACTCTTACTTCAATTCCCACTTTTCTCACTGAGCTCAGACGTCTTCATGTTGATCCTTGGTAAGTTGTATTCTATCCCAATCTAACCGAATTGCCAAAAAACAAAGAAAGAGTAAAAACACTCTCAAGTCTCTATTAATTGGCATTCATTAATTAAAGAGAATGACATCAGTTCGATATTATTGGTAAGCGTTGTTTCTTGGTACAATTTCATGGCTTTACCTTATGTTCAATGTTATGGTGGGTTTTGTGTATATATTGCAGACATATAGATATAGTAGTGAAAGAAAGAAAATAAAAAATAACTTTTTGCTTTCCTAGAAGAACCTTTTTTGTTTCCTCTTTTTTTTTAACTAATTATTACAGTGTCTTTAACGAAACTAAACATAAATTATGTTCTTACACATAAATGGAGTTGTGCATTTCTTCTCTTTAAGACTTTTTATTTCATTTTTCAGGGTGGTGACTGAAAATGCGGTTAATCCGTCAGTGGCAGTCGGTGATATGGATCACAACTTTGTCGTTGAGTCTTTTTACTCCTTTATGTTCAGAAGCACCATTAAATAATTCACTTTAACATACGAATTATTCACTTAAAATAATAATAATAATAATTAAAAAAAAAAAAACAGGTGAGTCACTTCAACGACTACATTTACAGATTTACTAGTTGAATGATAATAGTTCGGATCATGCATGTTTATTATAAAAAGCAAGAATACAAATAATAATAACTCTGCAATAATAATAATAATAGCTTTTTCTTGTGTCCCGTTCAGGTTCACAGTGGAATGAGAGATGCGCTCAAATTGATAGTATCTTATTCTGCCCAAGGTTTCTATTCTTCTATTTTTCCTCATTGATTCATCGTTTAGCCAAATCCTTTCTTCTACACATAATTATAACGTCTGTATCTCTTTTTTTTTTTCATGGTAAATACTGAGGGTAAACTTTTTTATTGTATTTGATCACCAGAGGCAAATCTAAAGAGAATTATGGAAAGATCAAAAACATTCACAATGATGTTAACATATCTGAAAAATACTAAAGATGAGACTGTTCAGAGAGATGTTGCTTGTCTAATCGCCAACTTTGCACAAAGCAGTATGTGGCATACATATATATATATATAGCCATTATTAAATGGGCACTTTTCTGTGTGTTATAAAATTTTGACTAAACTTTTGATTTCTATTATGGGAGTAATTATAAGAAACGTACCAAGAGCAGGTCATGGATAGAGGGTGCATTACTTTGCTGTGGTCGGCAGCAGCTACAGCTCAAGATGCTCAAACCATAACGATGTTTGCCAAAGCCATTGCCAATTTATGTGGAAATGGTAACTACTTGCACTTAGTCTTAATTGCAAATCTTAAACATGCAATATATAAGTAGCCTAATGGTTTGTTGTTGCATAACGTAGAAGAATTGCACACAAAGCTCAGGTCTAAAGGCGGGATTGCAGCCTTGTTGGAAATGGCTGCCCGAAGCGGACACTCAGACGTTTATGCACAAGTTGCTCGTGGATTTGCAAACTTCGCCAGCTCCGAGTCAACAATATCAACCCAAGGTTATGTTTATATTGTTTACAAGAATAACCCGATTCGTGGATAACCAATTATCTCGGATCACTTGATCATATACATACGTTTAGTTATCTTTTAAATTAGTCTATACGTATAATGCTTTAAATACCATACTTTTAAATTTTTGTTCTAAACGTAACCATGATCATTAGCTTATTTTTCAAAAATGATGCAAATTTCAATTTAAAGGTGATCTATATAACTCAGGAGAGAGTAGAAGGAAATCGACTTTAATAGAAGATGGAGCGCTCTCTTGGATCATAGAGAAGTCCAAGACTAAAGCCTCAACTATTAAGTTGCATATCGAAGTAGCCCTTTGCAGCTTAGCGCAACATGGTAATCATCGTACACAAAAAAAAAAAAAAAAAGAACAGATTACAGATTCGAGCTATCGGAAATAAGCATATTGTTAATGTAACAGTATCGAATTTTAAAATAAAGTATAACCGTAATAGAAGGTAGATTCCTCCGGTTTAATTATTGATTTTACTTTTAATATTTGAAGAAGCAAACGCTAAAAAGATGGTGAAGGAAGGAGCAATGTGGGAGCTTGTGAGGATTTACAGAGACTCTTCAAGAGAAGACCTGAGAATTCTTGCTCATCAAATTCTTACCTCAAGTCCCATTTTCCTCAGCGAACTCAAACATGTTTGTGATGAACTCCGGTTAGTCCTTTTTTACCTAACCAAATCAAACCTAATTGCAAGAAAAGAAAAAATAATAATAAGTGTCGATAAACATTCAATAAGTTATTAATTAAGGGAAAAAGTGGAATATATATGTGTTAGCTTATGTAACAAAAAATGTTTATGTTTAAAGAAACAATCTATCAACGCATAATCAGCGTCTAAACCAAACTGTCTGGTTGGAGAATTCACTTGATTTCTATTGATGTATGCAGGGATATTGATGGAACTCCGATATATCGTGAATACAATTCGGAAATGACAATTGAAAATGATTTATTACAACACATCAACATCATATATGAAGCGGTTCTAGCAGCTGAAAAGGAAAATGTGATTTTGGCAACGTACTACAAAGGAAAAGAACAACTTGCAGATTTATGTACTACATTACTAGAAACGACGTGGGCTGAAGAACTAAAGAGCAAGCTCGGAGTGACATTGAAATGGATTAAAAACGAGTAAAAAGATTGATATTTTTATGTTTTTTTAGCGTAGATTATGGGATCTATGTTTAATCTGGCATTCTATGATTTTCATCAAATTATTGTTTTACTTTGGGTGATCAATGTTCGTCAATTGTAAAACTATAGAGTTCGTGATTTGGAATTATATAAAGAGAAATGTTTTTTTTTTCTTCGTGCTTATTATTATTAACAAAAAAACATATGTTTGTTAATTTACCATCTATCGCCTATACCATTTTATAGGAGTGTATTATATCGAAAGTTTTTTCCAATTTTGATAATCTACTTGTTCGATCGGCGACTAACAATTAGTAAGGGCCAAATTGCAAAGAGTTCCTCTCCGACCGATCGATCTAAACCTTTGAATGAATTTTTTTTTGAAAAAGCCCTTTGAACTGAATTTTCTTTGTGGTTTTACAATTCCTTATGTCCAAAGTGAAGGCAAATTGCTCAAATATAATCGGACATTAGGTTCGTTATGTCTCGACTCTCGCGTATTGTGACTAACGGGTCTGCTTTAAACCGGTTCTTGATTTATATTGATCTTTTGGTTACATACATGGTGAATTTAAAAATAAATGTTAAAATCTAGTCTTATCTTTGTTTTTTTAGTTAAGAACAGAAAATCACAAAAGATCGATATAAATCAAGAACAAATGTTAAAATCTAGTCTAATCAGTTTGTTAATAATCAATGATTGGTAATTACATCATTATATCCAACTATATACAGTAAAACCTCTATAAATTAATACTCGATAAATTAATAATCACTATAAATTAATAAATTTTGCTAGTTCCAAATCGGGTCAATGTAAAAATTCATCAAATTCGATAAGATAATAAGATAATAATTTTTTCGAAACCCTTATATAAATATATAGTCCCAACAAAAACAGATTTTAATAATTATATAAATTTATGTAAATATATATAAATATAATATTTTGAAATATGACTAATGTGTTTGTTTTTACTTAAAATTGAAATCTCATTGGTTCTCTATTATATCAATAGCTCTTATTGCTGTTTTACTATATACATTCAAAATTATGATAATATTTTGTTGTGATAATTGATTTTCTTACATGTAAATGTTTTTAAATGTATTGTAGTATTATTTTCAATTTTTTCATCACTAATATTGATAGTAGCCATAGATTTTTTATAAATTTTAAACTTATGAACATATATATTTTTACATGGACAATCCAATATGATGTTAAAAACTATTTTATTATGATAGTTATAATTGTTAATTATAATTTATATCATAAGATTTGTTAAAATTTTAAAATATAATATTATTTCAAAGAAATTGTTAAAACTTATACACGAAAAGCAAATTTTTTTTGTAAATTAATATTACAATAAATTAATAAAATATCATGGTCTAAACATTATTAATTTATAAAGATTTTACTGTATAGCGTAGTGATCATCGAGTTGTGATGTTAAGGCATACATACTGAAAAGGCTAAAACCAATTTCCGAATTTGACCATATAATATCTCTATATAAAAAGTAAATCCATATTATACACACAAACACACGTATGAATATCTGCTTGCATGAAGTTTAAGGTCGTCGAATTTCTTCAGTATATGAGGAATATACTCTCAAAGCATGTTTTAATATTATTTAAAATTCGTACAAAAAAACTTATATTAAAATAATGGGCATAAACAAAGTCAAATAATAATAAAATAAAATAAAAAACAAAATAATTTGGTTGACAACAACAACAAAACAACAGAAACTATCAGACAACAATACAAATTGTCAACTATTATTATAGACTTATAGTAATCAAAAGTCTAAACTAATGGTTTAATGAATTAATTCTATCCATTACGAATTTTGAAAATTTCAATCTCTCAGCCTTATACTCTTAAAAAATGAAATATCATATGCATAACAGCATAAGCTCGCAGCTGGCTCTGTTTTGTCATGAGATGGTACTCTGTTTTGTTTACTTTCTCAGTTGTTTTTTTTCTTCTTTTTAATGAAATTCAGACAATTTGCAGGACTTGGAAAAAATGTTGAAGTTGTAAATAGTAAGTCGCGCGGTTATTAGTTAGTAGCTGGGTTATACCAACTTGTAATTACGATTTTGTTGCTAGCAAATAGAAATGATTAATTATAGAAAAAAATAGATTAAGCAAGTAGTCTTAAAAATGATCAACAATATAAATAAACTATCAAGCGGCGTGAGAGGGAAGTAGTGTGTACCACTCCTATTTACTTGTGTGTGCTTCTAGCCTTCCACTTCGTCACTACCCAGCAGCTAACAATATCATGCTGTAATTGTGATAATTTTATTTATTCTTATACCATTTTTCTTTGAAAATTTTATTTATTTATTCTTATTAATTCTTGTGTGATAATTTTTCTTTTCTTTTTTTTGGCATATACCATGCATTTTTTCTCTGCAAAAGTCAAATCAATTTACCTCTCTATTTTAAGCATTCTTGTGAAACAAAAGTCAAACCATATCTTCCTTATGGAACACTCAAATAAATTAGCCCTTCACTACTGCTCAAACATTGACTAGGATTACAGTCGGTTCAACAATTCGCCTGTAATGTTAATGTTGGAGCAGATGGTTCATTTCACAAATATTTATAACATGCAATTTAATGTTTTGTTATAGTATTAATTTTGAATCATTATCCGACTTCAAATTCACATAATACATGCCTTTGATAAAATAATATCATAATTTAGAAAAAAAGATTTCGTAAATGATCATTTTAGCGATCACAATAAATTTTTTTAAACTATATACATGTAAGTTAGAAAATTCGAAATACATATAACTTGACCAGGTGATTCAACCCACAAAACCACAACATATACAAACTTCTGAAAACTTAAATCCAAAATCTGATAGAAATATGTAATTTAGTCATCTATTAAATTTAGATAATGCATGTTACTGAATACAACTTTTATATAATTTAGATTAAAACTTATGATATTTTGCTTGATTTGTGCATATTAGGTTTTACTCATTGGTCAAACACGAAATCGAGTTCCATATATACTAGTCTATTCATTTTTTCAGATTAAAGGATTTCTTAGTACATCTTGTTTTAAACTTTCACTTGTATTTTTCGCAAAACAAAAAATGCACTTGGTTAAGTCTGAAAGCATTTTTGTTTTTAGTCTAAAAGCGTCTGAATATATTAGTTAGAGACGCATGTAATCATCAACGGACAAAATCCAATTATAGTCAAACTTTAAGAGTACAGTACCTTGAACGGCTGAGATCTTATTTAGGGACGATCCGCAAAATTCTCCTTAGACTATGGAGATTTGTCGACGCTTGTAATACGGGAAGAGTCGACATTGCCTTTTTGCAAATATCTCATTATAAATATAACAATCGGCGATATAGTGGCCTTGTATTTTACAACGATCATTCTATCAAGGGAATAAACTATATTAAACATAGAAAATAGCTGTGACTAAAAAATAATACGAAAATACATGTTTTGACACGTCCGAGGAACAACATGCCCCTTGAGAGTAATGGTGTGTGATCTTTGTAGAAGTTTAAATATAGTTTGATCTTTTCCCGACTATCTCGCGCGAACTCGAACAATCGTTTAATAATCTCTTAAAATATGTAATGCATACAGAGGTCGTGCGAATATCTTGCCCATTTTGGGATTTGGATCTATTTTTGATCAGCCAAAAAAAAAACAACTCCAAGTAGCCAGTAGAATAGCTAGCTTATGGACATGAAAAAGCTGTCACGCTAGAAAAAACAATATTGGAGTCACGACAAAACAAACTCACCTCGATCAACAATATTATAATAGATCAACAAATATATTACGACTTGATGCGCATAATCACGGTATGATACTATGTATATACTAGTGAGGTCTTATGTACTTAATCCTAATTTCTAAGATAATTATATAATTTGTTATACCGTTTAAGTATATATCATAGTGATCAACAAGAACACGATCACCAATTTCTATCGCCCTTAATTATATATATCAAAGTTTGATAACCAAACTATATATCTCCGATAAAATACAGGGTTTAGACTTCTTTGATGTTTGACCCAAAAAAAGCAAAGACTTCTTTGATCAAAGAGAGAGGGAAAACATATTCAAATTTGGCGCCAAGACAATAACAGTCAAAAAAGCAACCACCGAACTTTGTGACTCCTTTTTTCTGGTTTTCATTGTCAATTACGAAACTGCCTTACAAGAGACTAGGTTAGTTTTTTTTTTTTTATAACAATTTAGGTTAAAATTAAGTTGCACACTTGCACTTACTTATAAGTTATAACCCAAGTTAATAGTCCTAACTCCTGACTATAAAGGGATTTTTCATTACTATCAATTACTTTCCGTCTTTTATTTAAACAGAAAGGAAAGCTTAACATAATTTCAGAGATAAAATAAAATAAATAACATATTTGATGGTTAAAATTTTATCTAATACAAATTTCGTAATGTTAAAATTTATATAGAAACAAAAAAAAAAGATTTTACAGAATAAAATGGTCCTACGATAACAAGAATGTATGAGCTGTAATGCCACATCAGCGTATTCCCCCACGGGGTTTTTCTGTCCATTCAACGTTTCGTTCCTACGAGTTGCTCAAAAGCTATTTTTCTTTTCTCTTTTCATGTGGGTTGTGTTTTTTCCCCCTCTCTCCATTTTTGTTTTTCCATTTTATAAAGAATCGAATTATTCTTAGAGAAAGTCACATAAAAAAAATTATAATATAAAATAATAATATATCGGAGAATTAACGGCACCGACCGATCCGACCCAAAATCACGTGGACCCTCTTCTTTTGGTTAATTCTGTTGCCAAATCTCATCGTAATGATCTTATTACGTCCTCATGACGTGGCTCCCACCGGTTACTGATTACCGGCTGTTCCCGTTTCCGGCGTAGAATCATACACACATTTTTCCCGCTAAAACGGACGTGGAAAGGATAGTTAAAGAGAAAGTTGTTAAGTTTTTCTTTATAAAAGGCAACATATCCACATATAATGAATATTTATGGATTTCTTTTGGACGCAGGAAGGGCTCATAACTCTGTTTATTGTTTTGTAGTTGTCCTAAGATTATCCGCCAACATATTTTGATTTTGGACACATTTTTTATATATATTTCATCTAAGCTAGAATAAACAGTAATCGGCTGTGGCCTGTGGGGATATAATACTTAAACCAGATTTTAAAACTACTAAGCAAATTAATCATTAATGTGTCATTCATAAGTATACATTAATAGGTAATAAATGTATAGCAGAAGAATCATCTTTGGTCTATTAAAAGCTTAACGAATAGTTAAATGCTTTTGCAGCTTCGGTTACTGCACCGCACGTCCAAGGATGTATGGAAACTGTAATAGTATTACATAGAACTATGTCGTCCACGTGGCAAGATCATCACCGTCTACGATTGTAGATCGTTAAGACAATACTGTAATTGCACGTGACATGGTTCTGGTCCTTCTGGAGAAAGTGGCCCATACGTGGGGCATTTTCGTATTTAATGCGAATGATCTCCTTTAGATCCTTATGTGATACACTTGTTTCTTTTCCGAAAAATTTATGCTCCTAAATAATCTTTACACATAATAAAATAAGAATCTAATTTTTTTTTTTTTGGAATCTTCTAACTGTAGCCTCTTTTTATAATATGTTTCTACGAAAATTAACGAAATCACGCTTATGGACGATCATAAATTTTCAATAAAGTTGATTTGTGATATTCCCGTTTTAAGATTGTCTGTTTAATTTTATCATTATGAGCCAATTAAAAATTAGTATAGGGTCGGTAACTCAAAATGAGTAATGGGTAGGCCGAGAAACTCACCTCATCAACGTGAGTGTCACGCGCGAATTTACTTTTTCTTCCGCTACGTCTGGACCAATTAAATGTCACCACGTGACTAACCCCTAAATCCTCTGTAAGAAAAAGACATTTTTACCCCTCACGACACGCTTAAAGTGACACTCTCTCTCTTGCCAGCTTTAAAGTAGGTCCCTTGAAGATCTTTCTCCTCTTAAAATTGCGCCTCTCGATTCGGAGATTCCCAGGACATGGAAAGACATATATACCCTTATATAGCCAATAAACCGGAACCGAATACGAGGATTTTACCGGGAATTAACTTTTGGGAGAGTACGAGTCTCGAGAAGCGCGTAGCTCTCACGTGGCCACGTCATGAGGGAGGTGGGTGAATGAATGAGAGGAAAAAGGGGTGGAATTTCTCATCGTAGCTACGAAGCGAGTATCATTTGACGTGGGACCTTTAAGATTATGACACGTGGCCTACCCTGGCCGTTAGATCGATGATTGTCGGGAGGGAATAGAGTGGAAAGCACGCAAAGGAAAGGGAAACCCACTTATGACAGGTGGCGTCCTAGCTGGACAGTTGAACAACCAGAATTAACGATCTATTGACACGTGGAGGTGTGGCTCATTTCCATTATGATGGGATCTCTAACTAATCTCAGTAAATATTTAATGGGCTCTAATTCAACCTCTCTTTTTTTTGGGATTTATTTGATGTCGAAAATTCTGTGCTTGGTACGTATAAAAGTGAAAATATATATTTGAACGAAAGAATGAAATACTGAAGACTTTCAGAAAAGGTATGAGATGTAAACTGTATATATGAATACCATAAGTTATAAATAAAATGATAATTCTCAGAGGATATTGTTCCGTAAGAATTGGGTCAAATACAATGGATTACCGTTTTGTTGGGTTTAAACTTTGAAGGAATGAATGATGATTATAGAAACATATCAAGGTTAAAAAATATATATATATATATTATATATTAAAAAAAAAATGAAACATTATAAGTCCAACTATGAAAGACTTTTTGAGTCGTGCTCCTCCATGTGACGTTTTTATATAAGTTGCAGTCTTGCAGAGAGAAATTAACAAGTTAATTAAATATTTATTTATCTATATATATAAATAGGGAGCCCAATGTATGGAAGGATTATTATGTGAAAGCGTGCTTTGAACCATCTAAGAGAGAAAGAGAGAAATAAAGAAAAAGTAACAGTCTCTCAGGAGTCAAGAGAGATAAAACGGCACCGTTTATTTGCAGGGGATTTTATGTTTGTTAGGCATCTTTGGTAGAAGAAGAAGAAGAAACAGAGAATAAGAAGAAGAAGAAGCAAAAGGTTGAAAACGACGGCGTATTTGCATCAAAGAGATTGAGAGAAAGATAGATATGGCGATGAAGGGTTATTTGGATGAGTATGAAAAGCTTGTTATTAGGATGAACACTCCAAGGTTTTTTTTTCTTTCTTCTTTCTCTTTTATTTTTGGCGATTTTCTTGGATTCTTCCAAAGATTAGAACAGATCTCGTTTAAATTGAAAGAAAAAACCAGAGCTTGTGTTCCCTCTTTTGTCTCATCGTTTTTTCTGGGTAACTAATTTCGTCTTTGTCTTTCCTTTTCCGATATTTTTTTTCCCGGGTGGAAGATTTTCCCGGAAAAAAAATGAGATCAATTTCAAAAGTTTTAGAATGAAGTTTTGAAATTTCAAATTTTTTCTTTCCGTCCATCGTTTCATTTACTTTTTTTTTTCCAATAAAAAATATTAAATATTTAAAAGTTTGTTCTTTCTGTCTTCTTCGTAAAAGAATTTTCCCAACTCTCTTTCGGGCCTCTCTCTGGCACCAACTTGAATTTTTTTGAGGTCTTATCTTCTTCTTCTTCTTCTCCAAACTTTAATTGATAAATCCCACTATTTCCTAGATAACCAATTTTATTTATGACGGAAATGATAAAAATCTAAAACTAATTCGTACATAAATTACAGGGTTGTTATCGACAATGGTGTTTGTTCTTCAGCGACAATTGTCAAGGTTAGCCCCTTCTTGTTATACATATAAATTTTATTAAACCACCATCAAGCTTCAAACCAAATTATTCATTTTAAATCTAAAGATTATAAATTTAACAATTATTTTTCTTCTCAGGTTGACAGTGCAAGAGGACATGGTATTTTGTTAGAAGCCGTACAGATTCTCACAGATTTAAATCTCTCCATTAAAAAAGCTTACATTTCTTCTGATGGAAGATGGAACATGGATGGTAATAACAATCTCAAAAATTTCAAAAATTCATACTAATATTTAATCTTGTTAATTACATTTATAACTCTGTTTTTCCTAATTCCTTTTGTGTGGTTTCGTTTTTTTTTTTTTCCAATCACTGCAGTTTTCCACGTGACTGACTTAAACGGAAACAAATTGAATGATCAGAGCGTCTTGAGATACATTGAACAGGTAATTTCGTAATTTAATATTTATTTTAACCAAAATAATGTCTGAACTCTGAAGACTGAATTCATTTGAACATGGGATTCTAAAAATAGAAGCTTTACTCTTTCTTTCTGATTTGACAGTCGATAGAGACGGTTTACTACGGAGAAGACATTGAAGTTAACGGTTTAACAGCCTTAGAGTTAACCGGAACAGACCGAATTGGTTTACTATCCGAAATGTTTGCTGTTCTCTCTGATCTCAACTGCGATGTAGTTGACGCTAAGCTATGGACACATAACGGTAGAGTCGCGTCTTTGATCTACCTCAAAGATTGCAGCTCAGGATCTCCGATTCTTGATTCTCACCGGATATCCAAGATCGAGGGACGGTTAAAGAACGTTTTGAACGGCGATAACGACGTTAAATCCTCTGCAAAGACTTGTGTTTCGATGGATGTGATGACGCACATTGAACGTAGGCTTCATCAGCTTATGTTTGAAGATAGAGACTACGAGAGGAAGAGGTCCAAGAAACAGGAGAGATCTCCAATGGTGGTTGTGACGGTTCAGAATTGGGCTGAGAGGGGTTACTCGGTCGTTAATGTTCATTGTCGAGACCGGACAAAGCTTTTATTTGACGTGGTTTGTACGTTAACCGATATGGAATATGCAGTGTTCCATGCTACTATCAACACGTCTACAGACCAAGCTCACATGGTATGTTTCCTTGAAAACAATCTTGCAATATTGAGGATCTTTGTTAGTTTTTGAGCTAAAATATCTTTCCTTTATTTTTGGGTTAAATTTGTTTAGGAATTCTATATCCGGCATAAAGATGGATCACCGATAAGTTCAGAAGCAGAGAGGCAACGAGTGATTCAATGCTTAGAAGCTGCAGTGGAAAGAAGAGCATCTGAGGTATAAAACCACACTGAAATTGATTTGATTTTTTCGAATGTTTAATCAGAAATCTAAACCGTTCTTTGGTTTTCCTTTGTGTGTGTGTGTGTGTAGGGTGTGAGATTAGAGCTGAGACATCCGGATAAACAAGGTTTATTAGCAGAGGTTACACGGACGTTCAGAGAAAACGGTCTGAATGTTACAAGAACAGAGATTTCAACGAGCTGCGACATGGCTACAAACATATTCTATGTAACGAATGCGAATGGAGATGAAGCCGACTCGAAACTGATTGAATCAGTTAGGGAGAAAATCGGTTTGGAGTGTTTAAGAGTGAAAGAAATGCCATCATTGAATCATAACAAGGGAGATGGAGGAGAACAGCAACAGACTAAACAAGTGTTGGTTTCACTTGGAAGCTTGGTCTGGAGAAATCTATTCAACTTTGGTCTCATCAAATCTTGTTCTTGAGTCTTTCAAATCTTGGGTCAACCGAACCACCGGTTCAATGAAATTTATCCTTTGAAAGGCACGCGGATTTTATTCCAAGAAGTCTGCGTGCCTTAAAAAGAATTTGGTTTTTTTTTTAATCGGTGTGATTCGGTAAAGTTAATTTAAAGTTAGGCAATGTTTGGTCATGTTTGGCAATGTAAATAGAGAGGTTCAGAAAGTATTTTTATTGTGGGGTTTTAGGTGTTAGGAAAGGTTGTACAAAGTTTCTAAAGTTGATTATTAATTATTCTTATTACTATATTGTTGTGTGTGTTAGATTATTAGTAGTTGACTTGTATTTGCTTGGTGGAATATTATAATGTTCTTCCATCATTCCATGGTCCAATTATTTAAATTATGGAAAATTCTAGATGTGGTTATGAACATATGTCCCATAAAAATTGCATCCACAATTTTGTTTACTTATTTAAAAGTGTTGTACTGTATGTTCTAGTATTTTGAAAATTGGAACTTTCGATCATAACTTTCCAACAAGAAAAAGGACAACAAAGGTAGGTAGCCAATATAAAGCTTTTTGGTAGGTGATACTTGGAAGTTGGAATAATTGGAAAATGATGCATTGGCGTCTCTCTATTTTCCATTCCACGTTGCTCAATTGCTTATTTAATTTTGTTGAAAATACATTTCAGAAGTTGGTGATATAGAAAGCGTAAATATAGATTTATCTCATTATTCAAATTCAAATCACATGTCCATCTCCAGTCGAGTAAAAAATATCACGAAAAATTAGAAATGTATGATTCATCCATGTACAATAACTATCAATATATCTGACGTCGTTCTCATGAATTAGGTCTAAGTTGTTAATTAGTAGTTTATGTGTCAATATTACCGACAGCTTTCTATGCTAATTACCTCAACTATTACATTTTGTTTTATTTTATATAATATAAAAGCTTCACATAGTTTCGGCCAACGAAGAGCACGCACAGACGCACTCAATACGCTTACTACGGAAACTGAATACATCAGCATGAATCAGAAACGAAAACAGGAACAAAGAAAGGGGTATAAAAAAAAGGAGACATAAAACAAACTTGGTTTCTTTAATTTTTTTTTTTAGTTCAACTGGCAACTAATAAAAGCCTAAATACACTACCTCATAAACTGGGTTTTATTTCTTGCAGATAACATCACACGTTCAAGAAAGCATATCAAGAAATTTTTTGTCTAATCTACCACTCGACAGCATATCCATAACCATGATTATAATGGAAGCATCTGCAGCAAACCTACACCTCTTCATATCTTCGATGAGTTCAACAGCAGTGGTTAAGCTGCTACCTCGGAGATGTGCTCGGATTAGTGTGTTGTACGTATAACCATCTGGCGCAACCCCATCCTCTTTCATTTTTATAAACAACAGATCCGCTTCAGACAGCGAGCCTTTCTTACATAATCCTCCAATCATTATATTGTGTGTTTTGACATCAGGCTTCACTCCTTTGAGAGGAAGGCTACAGAATAAATCCCATGCATCATCGACCTTACTTGCATTGCACATCCCGTGAAGGATGATATTGTAGATAGCAATACCAAGATCCATTTTACTCTTCTGCATTTTTCCAAGTATTTCCAATGCCTTTTCCACTTCTCCATTGTCACACAAACCATCCAACAAAATACCATAAGTTACAACACTAGGTGGCACACCAAGGGAGACCATCTCTTGGAAGATTTCTTTGGCGGCATTAATTTTTCCAGATTGACAAAACCCTTGGATGAGAGTGCTATAAGTGACTGTATCCGCAACCACTCCTCTCAGAGACATTTTTCGGAAGAGTTTAAGACCATCGTCAACCTGCTTAGCCTTACAATATCCATTTATAAGGGTACCATAAGTCACGATATCAGGATCGCATCCCTTGCTAACCATCAGATCAAGCACCTGGTTGGCTTCATCTAGGCGGTTCTCCATGCAAAACCCATTTATCAAAGAAGTATATGTGATGGTATCAGGATCTATGCCTCTAGTGATCATCTCCTTATACAATTCATTAGCTTCTACAAGTTTTCCTTCTTTCACAAAACTATCACTCAGCGCATTGAAAGTGAAAACGTCGGGGGTGATTTTCCTAGTGATCATATCCCTCAACAACTGTGCACCATCATCCCATCTATCGGCTTTACAAAGTCCTCCTATGAGAGAGGTGTAGGTGATAACATCTGCCTTGATCCCTTTCGTTTCCATTTCATTGAAAAGGTTTAGTGCATTGTCGAAGCTCCCATCTTTACAAAGACTATCAATGACGATATTGTAATTGGTTTCATTGAGTTTGATCTTTCTTCCTTCCATCTTTTTCAGCAAATCCATGGCCAAGGCAGTGTTCCCGGACTTGCAGATTCTGTTTAAAATCGGTCCGTAGGTAAATGCATCAGGTTGGCACCCATTTTCCACCATTCGATCGATTAACTCAACCGCTCCAGACATTTTACCTTTGAGACAAAGTCCATTGACAAGAGTGTTAAGCGTAATGAGATCAGGCATATGTCCCGTTTCTACCATTCGATCAACTAAATCCACAGCTTCAGAGACTCTACCCACGAGGCATAATCCATTGAGGAGTGTGTTAAATGTGATTGTGGTAGGCTCATACCCAAGTTTCAATATCTTTCCCAAAACAGAAAACGCAAAATCGAGTTTCCGGCGCCGGCAGAAGCAATTGATCATAATAGTCAGGGTGTAGAGGTTATGCGCAAGCCCGTTCAATTCCATCTGCTTGCAGAGAGCTAACACGAGATCATACTGTTTCGTTTTGGCAATTCCACTAAACAATCTGCTGAAATCTATGATACTAGGAAGAGGACGAGACTGAATCATGGACTGGAATAGATCAAGAGCATCATCCTTGTTGATATCGACAATCCCACTTTTCAATCTCTCTCTAAACGAGAGATTTCTATCGCTATCGCTGCAGAGTCCAGAAAAGTCTCTTTGGCAGCAAGACAAGAAACCACAAGAGATCAGATCAGCTGTAAGAATACCTCGACTCAAGAAACGACGCCGAAACAATCTCTGAGTGACCCACATCATTCTTTGTTTCAAGTTGCAAATCTGAAAACCCTAGACAACAACGGAATTCGCGTCTTCGAGTTTGTAGTGAGCGACTTGATTCATCGTATTTTCACCACCAATATCTGCACATTGAACTAATTTCATCAACAGAACATAAAAAACATTTCATCAATCATTTGTGGTGAATTCTGATTCTGAATGTTTGAACCATAAAAAAAGAAATACCTCAGCTTTCTGGAACATTGAGGCTTTATTAGGCTAGTCGATCTCGCAATAAGAGTGACAGAATATTCTTTCACAAGAACAACGAAGAAGCAAGTTCAACAATTCGTCAAGTCGTGGAGGTTCTATCTTCTTCTTCTTCCCCAAAATTGCATAAACCGTCGATACACAATTCTGGTTTTTGGGAGTTTTTTCATATCGACGAGTCCGGTATGCATTAAACCGGACCCAGCACACAATTTTTTTTAATTACCTTATACTATCATTTTTGACGTACTATTTTCATATAGGATCATTCACCTTATATTATCATTTTTAATCCTAACCCGTTTCGTTTATTTCCGTATATAATATAACGAGACATGATGTTTTCTTCTGTTTGTATCTCAGTTTCCGGACTGAACAAGTCCCTTCTAGTTTAGATTTGCCGTAACAAATCATATCGCCGGTTCATGCTCATTATAGTTAACCATACAAAACACTGAACCGGCCAATTTTCATAGGTTTTTACATTTCGCTCTGGTAACTGGTTCTTTCGTATACGTCAGAGCCAACAACACAAGAAAGCCAGAGTGTTAGCAAGAGTTCATCTCCGCTTTAGCTTCTCCAATGGCAGCTTATTTATTGACTTTTTCCAGGAATAGTCTCTCACTTTATAAATCTTACACAGGCATCAAAATTAATGAGGGGAATGAAAGAACAACAAGAGTAATTTTATTCGGTATCAATCACGCAAGAACAAGAAGCTCAATATTGTTAAAACTTTTGACATTACAAATGCAGCTGTTGTGAAAAACACACACAACAAAAAAGTCTTAACCGAGACCAGCAGTTTCGTCTTGGCGAGGAGCGTCTTCTTTGATGCGGGGTGGTCTCACAATCTTATCGATAAGTCCGTACTCAATCGCTTCTTCTGCGTTGAACCTTTTCATCCGGCTCAAGTCTTTGAAGATCTGTATCATCAGCAATCATTTGCACTAAGATTTTTGATCAAAAATAGTAAAGAGAAAACTGTTTGGTTTGGTTATTAGTAATATGAACACTAACCCTTTCCGCAGGCTGCCCGGTATTCTTTGCTAGTTCGTTGAAGAGGTAATCTCTTATCCTTGAAAGCTCTTTTGCTTCATTTTGGATATCATCAGCCTGAGGGGGGGAAGTTTGTAGTTCATAGTTACAAATAATGAATTGCATAAAGATTTTACAAGTCCATAACTCGGCTCATTTACCTGACCACGGGCTGCACCTGCTGGTGACTGGAGGGCGATTCTTGACAATGGCATTGCAAACCGTTGCCCCTTTCACAGAAACAAAAATAGTTCAACTTCATGTTTCCTCTGAGTCTAGCATACGTGTTTCATTTCGTTTCCAAGATGCATAGATGATTAAAAAAAAAAGTGAAAAAAAAGAGATTACCTTTTCTCCGGCAGCAAGAAGAAAACCTGCAAGGTTATAGGCAAGCCCAACGCAATGTGTCCCAACTGGACTTTTCAAGCTCTTCATTGTATCATAGATAGCTAGACTTGGAGTAAGCTACCCAAAAAAAAAGCACAAATTTCTAATCTTTAACTTCAAAATTTAGACAAGTATAAGCTAAGAGCAAAAGATGTAAAGAATGGAAGAGAAACTCACATCACCGCCTGGACCATTTAAGTACATATAAATCCTCCTCGAGTCATCGAGAGTATCAAGGTACAACATGGTTGCTAATATCTGGTTGCTAAACTCTTCATCAATGTTTTGTCCAATGAAGATTACACGCTCTCGATACTGCAAACAAAGAAACAAAGTTGCATTTCCTTTTTCTTACTGGCCATAAAGAAACATACACACAAGATTATTATGTAGTAGTTGAATATACGTACAAGGGCGTTCCATATATCAACCCATTGCCAAGTGCCTTCTTCTCGGTTTCTGTAGGGAACTCTCGGTGTTCCTATTGGCATCATCTTTACCCGTGACCTACTCGCTTTCCCAGTCCTGCAGAAACCACACAGAGTTTACCACGAAAGACAAAGCTAATGAATCTATCACATTCAGAGGCAATGACCATGCTCACTAATACTCATATCTGTGACCAAACTTTTAAGTAATTCACCGTTCAAAATTCATAACAGGAACTTTCATCACTAATCAAGCATACATTATGATAGGGGTAGCAAAAAAACCCCTAAATTTAAGCAAAATGAACAAGAGAAGGGTCCAAACAAAAGCTAAATCTAAAAATCAATTCTTTTGAATAGAAAAGAGTTTCGCACTTACCCGGATTGCAAACTCTTGTGAATTCTGCCATAGAACTCCTTATTCAAATTCTGATACCCATTTGTCAAAAAGCCTGAACAAATTCCGAAAACAGTGACATGAAGAAAATCAGCTCCCTAGCATCGCACGGGCCAAAAGAAAAAACTTTCTAACAGATTAAGAAAAAAAGAAACGAACTTGCAGACTGAGGCTTCAACCCAGAATAAAGCTTGATGCTACAGCTGCAAAAACCATAGAAACACAAAATCAGATGCAAGTGTTTATAAATCAGAGCCAGAAGTATGTCGATTTTAGAGAATCGAAGGTCACCTCGAACTCAGAGAAGGCTGGTGAAGGGTTGTATTAAGCGAGACCGCCATGCTCGTCGAGCGTGTTAGAGTCGAACACTGAATTTGTGTTTTTCTTTTTTTCTATCAGCCTTGAAGGACAAAAAAATTACATACAGATTGGGTATTTTGTTGAAGAAACCAGATGGATGGGTTTATCAACTAAATTGGTTTGCTTCAACCGATTGGTTTAGATATGCTATGGTTAATTCAGCTTTGTGATTTACTTGGTTAGTGAATGAGACAACAGAACTTTGAACTTACGAGTTCTATTTTCTGAACCTGCCTCTCTCTAATAAATAGAGTTTCATAGCCGTTGGATCATTTTGGCATTTGAAGGTTCAGATGTAATTATATCAATTGAGGTGCAAATCGTTATAAATCTAGATCAGGTAAGTGTAATACCAACAAGATAATGACTATTGATTGAGTCTCTCAATTCTCAAACTAATCTAGCAAACCGGAAAAGTAACTGACGTAACCCAATTTGGTTTGAGAAAACAGATAAACAGTCTCATACTCGCTTGTAGAAATGAGTTTTCCACAACAGTGCACACCAACATCACAAACTGAGTCTCAGACAACAGACTGATTCCAAACCGGTAAAGAGAGAATAATTTGACAATGTTTATTATAATCTAATCTTGCACAACACTCTCGACCTTATTTCTTATTCATCTGAAAAGGAAGCATGTGTGATCTAAGTAGGCTTCTCGTAAGAGTTCTGGTCTCTAAACTCAGAAATGGTGCTGCGAATCATCTGCTCAACATGTGGCTGCACAAACAAGTGTGTACCATCAAGTACATGAATTATAAATTTCTGAGACGATGGCATCGAACTGTTCATGTTCACTATGAACTGTGCCATCGGAATATCGCTGCACGCAAAAGACACAGAAGAAAACAGAATTAATCAATGTTCAGCAAATTCTTGACAAGATTTGCTTGAGAAACCAAAGAACAGTACCAGGAGATGAACACTCCTTTGATGGCATTAACCATTGAATTTTTATCAGTTAACTTCTCTGAAAGAAGGAAAACCTGTTGAAAAAAGAATAAAAAAAATATACTCAAGAACATTTCTAGATACTGGTTAATTAAAACTCAGAACATTCATTAGCCTTCTTGAACAAAAATGATCATATGAGCAAAAGAAAAGCTTAACACTAATTTCAATTCAGGGACACCAAAATTAGGGATCTTTTTTACTCGATGCAACGATTTCTATAACTGGGTTTCCGCTACCTAAACACCACAACAGAATTCGATTTCCAAATCTAATGCTTCACGATTATATCAACAGTAAATCTAGGTCAAGTTTCTTCAATGGAATGAAACCAATTGGATCTCTCAATCTCGTTACTTTGAGATCGACCACAAAAATCGAAACCACGTGACGAAGAAGATCGATTAAGCAATCTTTTTTTAGAAGATGAAGAAGTTTGTGAGAGGAAAAGAGATAGAAATCACCTTGAAACGAGATTCCTCCGGCTTGATGATGCTATAGACGCAAAGACAGGATTTCGACTGGTTTTATTACATTAACCCTTTTAAGTTTTAATTACAAAACTGAAGCCGAAGGTTCTAGCTTCTCAAGTTTCTTAACTTTCTCGTTTATTACATCACTTAAAAAGGCATTCTACTTTTTTAAAGATCATTGTTCGCATGAGTTACCCAACTTTTTTCTGACATTGAAACTGTTCAGTTAATTGTTTCTCTGATCAGTAATAGTTTACCAGCTTGATTTGCTTTTACAAATGATGATCAGACATAGTGGACAGTTGAAAATCAGGATCTGAAAATGTTTCTAACAAAGGCAAAAAAAAAAATACACAAATCTTTCTGCCACTAATCTTACAAACATCACAAACCGGGAACAAACGCAAACGCTTTGTTCTTTCATTTTCTTCATGTCAAAGGAGCACGGAGCTGTATCTTTCTAGCGCAGTGTCAATCAGATGAACAACCGAAGAAGATGGACCGAGTCTTCTCCATCAGTCCTCGTAATCATCCAGCGCCGAATAAATCATCCTATTGCAGACACAAAGTGTTTTAGCTGTCTTGTGATCTAATAATGTAAGGAGGTTAAAAAACGAGAGATTCTAAGGGTTTTTCTTTTCTTTTTCTTACCAGAAGATAGTGAGGAAGAGATTAAGGATTATGTAAGCAAGCTTGAACAGCCGTTTCTTCTTTTCCCAGTTAAGCAAATTGAAGATCTCGGTGACATCTACCAAGTGTTGTCGTTTTGAGTAACTGAGCATTAGGAAAAACCGAATGGTTATGAGGAAATCACCATTTGATTAGAGCAAAGATTGAGATTAGTTGTTGAAAAAGACTTACAGTTGAAAGTTGTAGTAGAGATAAGGAAGACATAGAAGTGACATGAACCAGTGTCCTGTAAAGAGGAAGAACACACATAGAACTCCATGAACAATGAATTCCGGTAAAACCACCGAATTTATCCTCGACGCAGAGTCGTAAGGGTTGATGTAATCAAACTCGAGATCCGCTAAGCAAACAAGCTGCAAATGAAAATATTTTGATTCCAAAAGAAATAAATTAATTTCCCAGACACAAAATTTGGGTAATTAACCAAAGCAAATAAATCTCAGTGATTCCTCTAATCATAGTCTAAGCTCAGAAACACTAAAAGTTTGTAAATGGAGCTCACTTATAAAAGAAAAATATGTGCTTTGGCGGTAAATTTTCACACCAGATATGAACAATCGACACAAAATCTGATTATAAACCTATAAAAAATGTTTGGAGGAGTCAATACACTAATAACATGACCCTAAACTAACTGCTTCGGTTATGATAACACTCCCAAAAAAATGAACATTTTCAGTTACAATCATGTGGGAAGAACATAAAAACCCCAAATTTCCATACACAGAAACACAAAGCCTCCAACTTTTCTTTTTCTATCCTTAATCTAGATGGAATTACGACCGTATGAGTAAAACTGGCAAATTCGATAAAAAAGTAAATAACTTTAGGTTCTAAAACTGAGAATCGGATCGAATTAGAACCTGATAGACGATGATTCCGACAAGAGCGATGAGGAAGAAGAAGGAGATGAGCCATGTCCAAATATCTCCCATCTTCCTCCTTCTGACTGCTTTGACAATCTCCTCGGATCTATTCCGCTGCTTCTTGTCCTTCTCTCTCTCCTCCCAATAAATTCCGATGACGAACAGAGAGAAAGTTAGGACAACAAGTTTGTGGTCGGCGGGTCTCGATAGTTGTTCAGTTCGGCCTTCTGTTACGAGATTCTGATCGGAACACAGAAATGGTAAGAAATGGTGCGAAACAGCGAAAATGAAAAAGCCTAGAAGGCACGAGAGTTCCGGTCCTGCTAATTTTAACCGACGTTCCGGTTCGGATCCCGGTTATAATCGAACCGTTCCATGCCGGTTTAATATACCGGTTGGATTAATAAGCCCCTGGGTGGATCTATGGAGGTTGGCCCAACTAAATCTTAATAGTTTGGGTTTGGGAGAGGGATTAACTATTTTTTACCTGAGACCGCTGAGAGTAATAATTTAAGGAAATTAAATATTTTACTAATAATGAAATATGGGGGCCCAGAAACCTTTTCAATCATGTGATTGATAAAAGCCAGCTGTTTTCTAGTAGCAAAAATAAGCTTCATTTTTCCGATGTAGTAAAAAAAAAAATTTTTGTTAAACTAATTAATTTTCTTACTTTATCTATCAAATAATATTGAAACACATATGAATTTTAAAAGTTAAAGACTGTAGGAATAGTAAAATTACTATCCAAGTTAACTAATTGAATAATTACTATCGCTATCTGTAGAAAAGGTGGCGGTATGTATTTATTTCAGGTCTAAAACACGATATAGTGGAGTGGTTGAGAAAAGAAATTCTCGTACAAGCTTGTAAATCAAGCAAATTACGTTGTCACTGTAATTATTAATACCAGTATATTTATTAAAATGATTAGGTCTTCATTTATAGAACTCGACACTTGTTGGACAATGAAGATTCAAGTTTCTTACATATTTTGTTTTTGGTAAACTAGTTACTTGTTTAGTTTAAAGTTAAAATATGCATTTTAGCGAATTAGAAATCGTTCCATGTAAGAAAATATACCACGTAAGAAAGTAGATCTCTAATTTTGCTATTGCTACTTAACATTTTCTGTTCAAATCTCATTCACAATATCAACATTATACTAATTAGGCTAAAACGTGTTTTGATCAAGTGTTTCACAACATGATAAGTTTATTAAAAAAATATTTATATGATATAATGCATGGATTTTTTTGGGTGGTTGGAATGTAACAGACAATATCATTCTTACAGATAGTACTATCCATCTTTTAAGATTGGACTGGTCTAAATTCTCTGCTAATAAAATTGAATTCTGCCTTTAATATCGGTGGAATATGTGTAATTAGAACTTAGAATCCATGGATCATTCATGTATGTGTAGGCATGCATACATCAGAAGGTGGGAGACAGTTGTGACATGTGGTTTTATTGACATTATATATATTGACCAATTAAAATTTGACTCCTACTAACCTCCACTTGTTACTTTAATTATTGTTTTACTTATCTTCATTTTGATTTTGTATTTTACATAGTCTGTTTTATAGATTAAGTTAAGCTTTATTAATATCAATTTTACGAAATACTATCAATTATTTTGTTACAAAAAAAAAAAGAAAGAAATACCATCGATTATTTTGGAGTCAGAATGACACTGGGGGCTGGGGTAAGCTAGTTCACTACATCATAACTTAAATGAACTTCAGCCCTCAGATTTTGGATAATTGTTCTGATGAGAGGAGGTTAAAGTTTATCTAACTGATTAGTTTATCTTTGTCTAGGGAAAATTTTGGCCAAATTTTGTAATAAAGTTTTTGTACTGGCCCAAATTTGTGATAAAGTTTTTGTGAGGCATGTGACGGTCTAATTGTTCGCACCGTGTTTTCTCAAAATGTTGTACTAATGCTCGCACCGTGTTGTTTTGTATTGTCATATGCGATGCGTGAATTGTTATATGTATTGGTATATATGTTTTGTATTTTTGTACAGGTTATATGTTTATACCATCCTGTACAAATAACACGCACGTATATCAGTAAATAAAACACACAAAAATTAAACGTTTGAAAATGTATATATAGTGAACTTTTTTTTCTCAAAACAAAAATAAATAAAATGTATGGTGAACGATGACATGCACATCATGAGTGTGGTTTGATATTTCGTAATTTACATTGACTGGCCTATAGTTCTTCCATGACCAAATTGATCTTCTATCTAAGCTAAGAAGATGTACAAACAAGATTGGAAACATGTAAAAATGAAAGCATATATTATAAGTTTTTTCAGGACTTGGCCATTGAGAAAATATTAAGAGAAATTGACAAGTTCAATTCAAGAAAGTTTACATTAGCTTGGGAGTAGAACAAATTCATGAAAATCTTATTGAATTTAGGGTTAGCGAAAGAAATGTTTGTTATTTGGTTTCCACTAGCGAAACAAGTTTGTTAGAAGGAACACGATTATGTGTGATGAACCATAGATATGGGCATTCGGTTAGTTCCGATTTTTTTGGTTTGGTTTATTGGAATGGTACAAAGAAAATGCGAATGTTGTGAAGAGTAGGAAGAGTGTTGTTACTCATGACTTTAAAGTTTAAACTGCTAGTGACGGCCGTGACACTTATGAAGTTATGATAATGAACATTCATACAAAACCAATGAAAAATAAAACTAATCAACCAAAATATTTTAGACTTTAACAAATAAATGTTTTAGAAAATGGTATGAAGTAGGAACTAAAATTGTCGGTAAAGAAATGGAAAATATAAAAGGATTTTCACGCAAATTACAAAATTACTACTTTCAAAGACAAGAATTATTTACGAAGAATATTATTTTTTTGAGTCAAAAAAAATGGTCAACACAACGCACACTCTCTCTCTCTCTCTCTTTAATGTCTTTCACTGTCTATCTAGAAACCAAACTAAATTCCCACTTTACCCTGTTATATGTCCAAATTCTGAGCGCATCCCACGTAGACAAGAAGACACAAATGGAAAACCCCACTCACCAGTTTTAATTTGTAACGAAATACAAAATGTTCATGTGAATTTATAACTAAATACAAAACGAGGATTCGTTAAACCGAATTTATCATGTTTATGGAAATCCATCTAAAAAATATATATAATTATGTATAAAGAAATACCTTAGATAGTACTTTCTTTTGTCAAGAAAAACTTTATAGTATTTTCATGTATATATTTTAGTTTCTGTCCTAAAATATGAATATATAATAATGTTTATCAAATATATTCAAGAAACTTAGAAACAGTATAAAAAAAAGAAGTATATACATTCTTTTGACGTAGAGATAATTGGCACAAAGAAATTTATTTACAGTCCTTTTTTGTTTGTATTTACCACGAATTAGATCCTTGAGAATTCGTAAGACCCCAAAGTAGATTTTTTACCAAATTTAGATTTTATGGTTGATACTGCTGCAGGAGAAGAAAAACATGTATAGATTACGAAAATCTAAGGGAATGCATTAAATTAAGGTCCCAAATAGTTCCAATAGAAAAGAAAGGAAAAAAAAAAAGTAGGAGACAAGAAAAGGGATTTTCGGAAAGAAAAAAAAGGTGAATAAAAAAAAAAACAACTTCTCAAAACCACATAGAAGCGCGTGAGGAAAACGCTCCAATGATGGGGAAGTGAGAGAGTGGATTAGCCAATGTAACGTTTTGGTTCTCGTACGACGTGGGACTCTGCTTTCACCTTGTTCCTTTCAAAAACGTCCGTTTACTCTCTTTTTTCTTCTCCACGCGCGTGACCTTCACCTTCTCTCTTAACTCTCTCTCCTTTTCTTCTTCGCTGTCTTTTTCTTGGAAAATCTCACAGAGGAAATTCAAGAAAAAGAGTGATCAGTGAAGAAGAGACATTAGAAGTGAATTTTCTCTTGCTTCCCCGGAAAATGGTTTGGAGTAATCGCCGGGAAGCTGAAGATCGCCGTCTCCCGGCGGATTTTCCCGGCTAATAAAATGTCACACGTTTTTTACGAGGCAGCCTTACAACAAAAACCAGCTCCCGCTTAAACCCTTTTAGAAAGAAAGATACAAACCCAAAAAAAATCCAGAGAAACTTTTCTCTAAAAACCCACCTCGAAATTTCCGATCTTTCTTCTTCCAAATTCAGAGAATTTAAGATTTTCTCGCAATGGCGACGACGAACGCTCCCACGGCGGCTCAGCAGCAACAACAGCAAACTCCGCCGCCTCCTCCTCCTCCTCCAGCGACGGCGATCGATGGATTAACGACGGACGAGCTAACGGCGAAAGCTTTAAACAAGAGATACGACGGGTTAATGACGGTGAGGACTAAAGCAGTGAAAGGTAAAGGCGCGTGGTATTGGACTCATCTGGAACCTATCCTCGTACGCAACACCGACACTGGTCTCCCCAAAGCCGTGAAACTCCGTTGCTCCTTATGCGACGCCGTTTTCTCCGCCTCTAACCCTTCTCGCACCGCCTCCGAGCATCTCAAACGCGGCACGTGTCCCAATTTCAACTCCGCCACTCCCATTTCCACCATCAACCCTTCTCCTTCCTCTTCCTCCTCCTCCCCTCTCGCTCACCCTCCTCCTCATCATCATCATCATCATCACCGGAAACGCAACTCCTCCGGCGCCGTCACCACCGCCGTTCCTTCTCGGCTAAATCCTCCTCATCCTCCTCATCCGCAACCCATCGGAGGCTCTTACCACGTCACGCCTATTACCGTCGTCGATCCTTCGAGATTCTGCGGCGGAGAATTGCAGTACTCTACGCCGCCGGGAGTTGTCGGGCCGCATTTGATGCTCTCCGGCGGAAAAGACGATCTGGGTCCGTTGGCTATGCTTGAAGACAGTGTGAAGAAGCTCAAGAGCCCCAAAACGTCGCATACGCAGTCTCTTACCAGATCGCAGATAGAGTCAGCTCTAGACTCTCTCTCCGATTGGGTCTTCGAATCTTGCGGGTCGGTCTCTCTGTCGGGTCTGGAGCATCCAAAGTTTCGAGCTTTTCTGACTCAGGTGGGTTTACCAATCATCTCCAAGAGAGATTTCGCCACCACAAGATTGGACGTCAAGTACGAGGAAGCGAGAGCAGAGTCTGAATCAAGAATCCGAGACGCCATGTTCCTCCAAATCGCATCGGACGGCTGGAAATCAGGAGAATCCGGAGAGAATCTCGTGAATTTGATCGTGAATCTACCCAACGGGACGAGTCTGTACAGAAGAGCGGTTCTGGTGAACGGAGCCGTGCCGTCCA